TTCTTCTTTATATCTTCTATTTCTTTGCTAAGACTTTTCACTTTTACCTTTGTTTCAAGCATGTTTATAATTGCTCATTGAAACATTGTTATTATAGCTGCTTTAAAATATTTGTCAGATAATACTAACACCTCTGTCATCTCAGTGTTGGTATCTGTTGGTTGCTTCTTTTTATTCACTTCATGATCTTTCCAGTTCCTGATATGACAAATGATTTGCTACTGATACCTGGACACTTTGAGCATTATATTTTGAGATAATACAATGGTTTGGCAAATGGAGACCTGGCTGAGTTTCAGCCTCTACTGTGCCAGGCACTCTTGGGGGAAGATACAACCTATGTAGTTGTATGCAGTGCCTTGATAATGGCCTCCGAAGACTGCTGCCTTCCCATTGTGTGTGAGGTACAGCATTGGCCTTGGGCTCATGGCCACTCTCACCAGGGACCTTCTTCTGTAATGTTTAGGGCAGACCTGGAGGCAGATGGACCTTGCCTGGTTACAGATTGGATCATAACTCTTGGCTCACAAGTCCCCCTCTTCCCCAGCCAGAAGAAGTCCTCAGTCCCTTCTTCTGTCTGTTTGTCATTTCTCCCTGAGATTAGTCACCAGGCCAGTATGAAAGAATGTAGGGAAGCTGGCTGTCTTTCCCAGAATCCTCCCCAATTATAAGAGGTCTAAAGGGCAGGGGCTCTTCAGTCCTTGCTGGTTCTTTCTTTTGAGACAGCAGCCAGAAGGAGGGGTAGCCGTTGAGGCAGGAAGGAAGAATAATGTTGTTGTTTAACACTGTTCACATGAAAGCCTGCAGGCCTTTGGCTGAAGATAGCACAGAAAGGACAGACAGAGCCAAACTTCAGTCATTCCTCAGCAGTGTTTACATCAGCAAGCCCCGGGCACTGCCCTGCTGGCAGCCTGGGTTCTAGTAGCTGTTGGCTCATGACCCTGACTGGAGAGAGATTCCAGATTTTGGAGGGAGTGGAGGGAAGCAAGAACAACATGTCCTGTTCACTTGGAGGGTATGGAGGCCTCTAGAGAGGCCAGATGTACCAGTCACCTGGCTTCGGGGTGATGCAGTCTCCCACACCCAAGAGCATGAGTGCCAGGAGAATTTCAGATCTGGACGTAAAAGAGGTTTTACAATTGAGGCCTGGTTCACCTTTCCTACTACAGCTAGGGAGAATGGGATCCTTTCCATTTACAGGTAAACCAGCCAAACCTGGCCTTACTTTGGAGTACACAGCTAGAAAATAGATTGAGGAGGAAGGGACGTAAGGTAGAACTGTAGTCTTTGGTCCCCTCTTGTCCCCTCTTGGGAACACTCTGACAATCCGGCCAGCCTGGACCAGCACGGGCAACCCTGTGCTTGCCTGTTTATCCCTTACCCACCCCAACCAACCTCCTCTTCAAGAGTTGCCAGAATCTAATAAACCTATTATCCGGGGCTTACGTGTATGGTGTTGGTTATTTAAAGGAAATCATTTCCATGAAGAGCCAGAATCGTCAGGGAGAAAGTAGCCATGGAGAAGAGAACTTGATTCAGTCCTTTAATTCACTGCAGGGCTTGATGAGGTGGAGAAGAAGGAAATGGACATTCACTGGAGGAGGCCACTTTAAACATTTATTTTATTTTTTTGGAGCCACTTTTTGGAAAAGCATTTATACTACGCCACTTGTTAGCAAAGCTTTCTACATACATTGTCCTACTTAATCTGCTCAGCAACCTCTGAGGTAGGCATGAGGTGTTATAGGTTTAAGATGAGTTCAGGGGATGATGCTTATTTAGCATCATCGGCCCATAAGTGGCATTGGATTTAAACCTGGCAGTTGTCCCCATGAGCCTCTGTTCTTAACCCCTGCACTACCCACTTCTCATGGTGGAATAGGAGAGGCACCAGGGAGTTCTGGGAAGAAATGCAGAGTGGATTTGCTTGACAAAACGGTGCAATTTATATACATTTTCTGTGGTCAGACATGGGTTAGGGGCTCAGTACTTCTTTGGGCATCTGCTGATCTAACACTTAGGTATTATATTAATGTTAGAGAAAATGCAGCTGTAACAACATAAATGAGATCCCCCGAATTCGGTTTCATGTGGTATAAGGTCAGCTCGTTGTGAGGTTAATGAAATGATCTGGATAAGTCTGGTCATCATCAGCTCTATAACACCCAAATTCCCTAGTTTACAGGTGAGGTGATTACACTATTATTGTTTATTGGTCCATGTCCTTTATTAATTTGTATGTCCCTTGAGGGTAAGATTACTAGTAAATAGCTCAGTTAAGTCCCTCTGTAATTAAAGAAACTCTGTTACTTCAATCTTTTCAAGAGGTCCTCAAGTTGAGTTAGTGAAATCAAATTATTTTGTGGTGATCCTTTCACAATAGACACATATGTCAAGTCAACACTTTGTACACTTTAAATGTGCACAATGGTATATGTCAATTACAGCTCAATAAAGTTGGGGAAAAGAAAAAAGGGGAAAAATGTCAGCCGTATGATTTTTGAGTAAAGTTACAAAACAGGTAGGCTCAAGGCTCCCATTGCCTCCTCAAACAGTCAAACTTGTTTTAAGAATCTAAAGCAGTAATTTAAATTTATGTTCTGGGACCCAAATAAAGTCTCTGAAGTGGCATTTCTTTAAACCAATAGGTCCAGAAAATGTTATGCATTGCACATATGGAGGAATTTCATCCTTTGAAATATCCCAAGACTGGTAAAGTTTGCTTTAAACCATATACTTAAAGTCTCATGATTTCTAAATTTGGACGGAGAGGCATTAAGGCATGATTTAAAGATAAATAAGGAAAAGCTCAGAAACCCAAGGTAGACAGACTTCATTTCCACAGTCAGCTTTTCCACCGATTCTGTGACCTTGAGTGAAGGGGCTTTCAAAGCTTTGGTTTTGTCATTATAAAATGGAAGAAAAAAATAGAATCCATCATAGGTGGTTGGTGTGAAATATAATTGAGAAAGTGCACTCCAAGTATTTCCTGGCATTTGTGTGTTCCATAAATGTGAAATTAGTAGGTGAAATAAATGAGTAGAATTGCCTTGGTTATTTCCATTCAAGGGTTATTTGTGTCTCCTAGGAAGGAGTGGGTGGCTCAGGGGGATGGGCAGTTGAAGGAAGCATTGTGGTCTGTTTGTTGCGGGACAACCACAGGGCAAAGCTGCTTCAACAGGCTCCATGAGTCAGTGGCAGAATTGCATAGGTATTGTTATGCCTCAATGAAATTCACTGCTCCCTCTCTCCACACCATAGAGAAAGGTAGATCCTTACATTTCTCCTTGTTTCTTAGTTCAGGAACCTGTTCTATATCATCCACTTCTTTTCCAAAGACATTCTGAAATAGTCTACTCTCAGAAAAATCTTCTTTTCTTTCTCTTGGAATTTGTTTCTTATATCGAGTAGGCAAGCCAATTCTTTAAAGTGCCTTAATGTAGGGAAGGTCTGAAATTCATAATTCTCAGTGTATTCCCCATTCTCATGTGTTTGCTCTGAAAAGGCGTTGCTCTTGGAGACCTCTTGAAATGTTGGGTCATGTGAAACACAGCATCGATGCTTGTTGAGTGAGTCTGAAGGGTCTAGATATTGTTTTAGCTAGTTGTTGGGGACAGTTGGATTTAATATTTGGCTCTTCATGTATTATGTGTCCAACTACCTGATATCTACCAAGTGATAGGAGCTATCTGTGGGATCAGGGTGGCTAAGGTGATCTAGATGAAGTGTCAGAAATTTTCCATACCATTGACAAAGATGGCAGCTTTTGATTTACTGATGGTTTCTGTGCCACACCCAATATCTCATTGATTTTTTAAAATCTATTTCTGGCTGGTTAATAGATGAGTCTCAACAAAATAGTACAGTATTATAATTTTGAAGAACATGATAGAAATCACGAGGAGGCGGATACGAGTAGCATGAAAAATCCAGAGGGTTGGGTTGGACAGTCTCTGGCTGATTAGTTTGTAACGAGGGTGAGGGTGTTTTTGAATGAGATTAACATTTGGATTGGCACACTAAATAAAGCAAATTACTCTCTATAATGTGAGTAGCCCTCATCCAATCAGGTGAAGGCCTGAGTAGAACAAAAATACCGACTTCCCTGGAATAGAGAGAACATTGTCACCTGATTGATAGAGCTGGGACATTAGTCTTTCCCAGCCTTCAGACTTGGATTCTTTTTGGAACTTGGACCTTGAACTTGCCAGCTTTCTAACTGGAACTCACACCATTGGCTCTCTTGGTTCTTAAGGCTTCGGTTTTGGAATGGAACCACACATCAGCTCTCTTGGGTCTTCAGCCTGCCGATGGGAAATCTTGGACTTCTCAGCCTCTCCAATCATCTGAGCCAATCCCTTATAATAAATCTCTTACCAAGCAGATATATACATATATCCTATTGGCCCTATTTCTGCAGAGAACCCTAACTAATAATAAATGAGTAAAGAAAACATACTTTTGCTTAGCCATGTTATTATGTTCAGGCATTTGATGAGCCATTTAAATTTGCTTTCCCACTTTAAGTAACTGCACCCCAGATCCTCTATGTGTATTTAGGTGGATTTTTATTTAAGTTTTTGTTAAAAGGTTTTGTATATGAAAAATTATAAATTAGGTCTCCAGCTTGCAAAGTGTACATGTGAGAATGTGTTTGATCAAGTTTATGAATAAAGGCTTACAGAATATGTGAAAGACACATTAAATTTGAGAATACTTTACATAAAAGTATGCTTTTGAGGTCTAAGAATTAGAGTTAAGTCAAGTTGAAAGAAGTCTTTTGGGAGAGATTGTCAATAATCAGTGTCGATGCTTACCCGGGGACTGAACACATATTTCAAAAGAAAGGTTTTGGATTCACTCTTCAACATTTGCAGTACCCTCCCCCACCATGTCAAGGTGAGAAAAAGGTGGAAAGGAGAGGGGAAAAAAGGAGGGCAACAAACATAGATTGATAATTGAGCATGCTCTGAGCCTGTTGAAATTTCATCTGCTTGCAGGAAAATAGAAGCTGTCTGCAAATACACATCATACCCCAAGGCCATCAAGAAGGAACAGCAATAACCAGAAATTGCCAGAGCAGCAAAAGTGAGTGTATATTTTTTGTCTCCCTGTCTTCTCTCCTTTCCCTTGCCACCCTTTCTTTATGAAAGAAATCTATCTCTTTTTAAAGATGTGTCTTTGTAGAGAGCAGACTGAGGGTTGATGGAGGGCGGTGGGTGGGGGATGGGCTAGACAGGTGATGGCCACTAAGGAGGGCACTAGTTGGGATGAGCCCTGGGTGTCGTATGTAAGTGATGAATCACTGAATGCTACTCTTGAAACCAGTGTTTGTCTGTATGTATGTTAACTAACTGGAATTTAAATACAAATTTGAAAAGACAAACAAACAAAATTATACCTTTTACCCATTTATTCCAGAAGCTCCTCTTTGCAATTTCATGATAAACTTGCAATGGAACATCATCCTGAGTGGACATATTTCTCAACATCAGGTTAATTTTATTTTACATTTTATTTTATTTATTTTTTAATTTTTTAAAAACATTTATTTATTTTTGAGAGAGACAGAGACAGAGTGCGAGCCAGGGAAGGGCAGAGAGAGGGGGAGACACAGAACTCAAAGCAGGCTCCAGACTCTGAGCTGTCAGCACAGAGCCTGATGTAGGGCTTGAACCCATGAACCCATGAGATCATGACCTGAGCTAAAGTCGGACACTTAACTGACTGAGCCACCCATGTGCCCCTTATATTTTAATGACACATGTGAGCATTCACACATGCCTCACAGGCTTTGGATGTAACTGAAAATTCTCTTTTATGTTCTTTAGTACATTTAGAAAGATTTCTTCATATTGATCTTGTATATTTGTTAGAATCATTCCTTAATATTTTATTTTATTTGAACAAGTAGAAAAACAAACCATATACTTAATTATGGGAATTCAACATTTGAAAGACATTGATTATCCCCAAGTTTATCTATACATTTAAGAAAATCTCAATAAATGTGTAAATAAATTTGGCGGGGGTGGTTTTTGTTTGAGGGAGGAACTCACACTCTGATTTTAACTCTACATGGAAAATTATTCTAAAGTTTATATAAAACATTATTATTATCATTTCTTAATGGGGTGCTTGGGTGGCTCCATTGGTTAAGCATCGGACTTTGACTCAGGTCATAATCTCGCAGTCTGTGGGTTCAGGCCCTGCATGGGGCTCAGTGCTGACAGCTCAGAACCTGGAGCCTGCTTCAGATCTATGCCTCCCTCTTTCTCTGCCCCTCCCCCACTCACACTCTGTCTCTCTCTCTTTCTGTTTCTCAAAAATAAATAAAAATTAAAAAATAATAAAACTATTTCTTAAATGTTTATTTATGTATTTGTTTTTGTGAGAGAGCACAAGCATGTGAGTGGGAAAGGGGCAGAGAGAAAGGGAGACAGAGAATCCCAAGTAGGCTCCATGCTGTCAATGCAGAGCCCCACAAAGGACTTGAACTCACAAACTGTGAGATCATGACCTGAGCTAAAATCAAGAGTCGGATGCTTAACTGACTGGCCCAACCAGGTGCCCCTCTATAAGAAATTATTAAAGATTAGAAAGAAAAACATTTGACAAGGAAGAATGATAAGGGAGAACTATTATATTGGATATGAAAATGTATCACAAAGCTACAGCAAATAGTGTTGAGCTTATTCTTGTGTAAACACAGATGAGTGAAAAAAACAACACAGTCCATAAGACCCAAAGATGCATGGGAATTTAATATTTAATGAAGGTGGCATCTCAAAACAATGAAAGAAAGATGGATTGTTCAGTCACTGGTGTTGGAAAAAGGCTAGATAACTGAAATGCCAGTTATTAGCATGACTTAGCTGCTATTGGCCTGCTTAAACTTCGTGTTGCAAGAAAACAATGACGAGTTCTCACACAGGTGTTAAGAGGGAAAAAATAAGAACAAAAGTTCCAGACAGAAGATGCAACATGTTCCTACCTCTCTAATTTCTACCTCTAACAGGTAAACTATGAAACTGAGATGGACCTTCAGTGATTAGGACTAATTCTAGCTAAGACTCATGACAAGGAACAAGTCAGGGTATGGACACCAAATCTGTTGCTTAAACAGCTGGAATGATTAAGGTGCTTCTGAGTAAATCCCCTCCTTTGGAAAAAGTTGCTCAGGAAAGGAGACCAAAGGTGTGCCTCTCCCTCTGAAGCCCGATTCCCTCAAGGTATCTGTCTGGAAAAGAACTGGGTGCATAGCTACTGGCATTAAAAGTTCTGCATCCACCTAATCCTCCTATACGTGCAAACATATGGTATTTGTCCTTCTCTGCCTGACTTATTTCGCTCAGCATAACACCCTCAAGGTCCATCCACGTTGCTACACATGGCCAGATTTCATTCTTTCTCATTGCCATGTAGTATTCCATCATATAGATAAACCACATCTTCTTGATCCATTCGTCCGTTGATGGACACTTAGGCTCTTTCCATGTTTTGGCTATTGTTGAGAGTGCTGCNCAAATATCATATGTTTGCACGTATAGGAGGATTAGGAGGAACTTAATGGAGGACCATGGGGGAGAAGAAGGGGGGAAATAGTGGGGGAAAGGGAGAGAGGCAAACCATGAGAGACTCTTGAATGCTGAGAACAAACTGACTGATGGGTGTGGTGGGGGAGGGGGAGATGGGCATGGAGGAAGGCACTTGTGGGGATGAACACTGGGTGTTATATGGAAACCAACTTGACAATAAACTATTTGTAAAACAAAACAAAACAAAAAAAACAAAAAAAGTTTTGAATCCAGTTCCATTGTGTGTGTGTGGGGGGGGGGAAGGACAGGGGGAGGGTTTTCTCCAGAAATCCCAGCAATTCTTGGATACCAGCTGGGTGTCCTACAATTTAACTCAATTCTGACCCCGTGGATCTGGAGGTAGCGTCGGGTTTCATAGGATAAGAGCGAGTCCCAGAGGACTGTCCCCCACACCCCACATTTCAGATGCAGTTGCAACTCCAGGGCGTTACCTATACCTCTAACCCACCGACTGTAAATCAGAGGTTCCCACGACCTCCTCCTTGGGTTTGCTCAATTTGCTGGAGTGGCTCATAAAACTCAGAGAAACGTTTTACTTACAAGATTACCAATGTGTTACAAGAGGATCTTCCTCAGGAGCTACCAGATAAATCAGACGCACAGAGCGAGGCTGGGGAGAGGGCTGGAGCTTCTGTGCCATCTCCACAGGTGCCACTTTCCCCAAATTGCCACGTGTTTACCAACCTGGAGGCTCTCTGAAATCTGTCCTTTTGGACTGGTATGGAGGTTTCATTACACAGCCATGCTCGATGGAATCACTGGCCATTGGCGATTGATTCAACCTCCAGCACCCATCTCTTGCCCCAGGAGGGAGATCGGGGCAGTGGGGTTAAAAGTTCTAATTCCAAGGATTAATTAGGAGTCCTGAGCCAGTCACAGGAAAAAGGCCAAATACATGTTTCTTCTGATTAATCGTATCACAGGCACCTAGCGTTAGGTGGAATAAAATAGATAAAAAGCCAAGTATATTTTAAAGAGACTTGCACCGTCAGGAGAACCACTTTTACACTAAAAGGGATTCTAACTTCTTTGCCTAAAGCCACAAGCTCGGTTAGCATGTTATCTGCCCTCCGAGTTTGTACAAACGTTTCACTGCATTACATATATGGCCTCTGTTCATTTCCAATAAATTTCCTTGCTTCCTATCGGCATACCGGGAGCAAATGCCTCATACTTTCAGATCTCTCTTATGAAAGCTTTTGCCCCACTTTTAGGACCAATTTCTGTTTTAGCTTAAGCTAGTTTACATTGTAGTAACAATTTCGGGATTTCAATTGCTTAAAATAAAACAAAAAGGTTTATGATTTGAGCATATAACACATTTTAAACAAATATAATCCACCACATCTATTAAAGGACTTTTATACCGCTTATAATTTTCACATACTAGAACTAATTCTGCACTGGATATATTTGTATGGGTACCATTTTGCACACGAGTGAGCATATTTGTAGGTTATTTTCTAGAAATACAGGCATGCTTTGGTGATACTGCCAGTCTGGTTCCTTACCACCGCAGTAAAGCAGAGAGCACTAAAGCAAGTCAAACAAAAATTTTGGTGTCCCAATGCATATGAAAATTGTGTTCATACTCTACGGGAGTCTACTGAGTGTCCAGTAACATTACGTCTAAAAAACAATGTACATGCCTTCATTAAAAACTAGTTTATTGCTAAAAACTGCTAACCATCATCTGAACTTTCAGCAAGCTGTAATCACCGATCACAAATTACCATAACCAATGCATTAATAATGAAAAAGTTTGAAATGTTGTGAGAATTGCCAAAATATGACACAGAGACATGAAACGGGCAAACGCTGTTGGAAAAATGGCACTGATCGATTGGCTTGACTCAGGGTTGCCACCAGCCTTCAATTTGTAAAAAGCACATTATCTGTGGAGCGCAGCAAAATGAGGGGCAATAAAAGGAGGCGTGCTTGTAGAATTGCTAGGCCAAAGGACAGGCACATTTTAAAATTTGATACAGACCTACTAGTTTATACACCCACTAGCTGAGCAGGAGACAGCCTGTTTCTTCCTACCTACAAAACTGTTGTCAATTGTTTTGAATTTTTTCCCACCTGGGAGCTGAAAAATAGCTTTTCATCTTTTTAATATATTTCAGAACTATTTGTATTCTTTTTTGGTTTATTCCTGTTTGCCCATTTGTCTCCTTGGATGTGTCTTTTTCTTTTAATGTTTATTTATTTTGAGAGAGAGAGAAAGCAAGAGAGGAGAAGGGACAGAAAGAGGGTAGAGAGAGAATCCCAAGCAGGCTCCATGCTACCAGCACAGAGCCTCACATGGGACTCAAACTCACGAACCGTGCTAACATGACCTGAGCCAAAATCAAGTCAGCTGCTTAACCTACTGAGCCACCCAGGTGCCCCTGGTGTCTCTTTCTTATTGATTTATAAGAACTACTTACATATTCAAGATACAGTCACTTATGATATGAATCAAAAATATTTTTCTAGATACTCATTTACATTTGGAGGCTGTTCATTGTATTTTTTGCCATGAAGAACTTTTTAATGTAGTCAAATATCAATTGTGTGTGTGTGTGTGTGTGTGTGTGTGTGTGTGTGTGATGTCTGAGTTATGATCTTTCTTTCTTTATCACAAATGAACATATTATTTAAAGGATAGAAAAAATAACTTTTTTGTTTCCTTCTAGCATTTGTAGTTTCACATTTTGTTTTAAAATTTGTCATATGGATGACATTAATTTTGATGTAAGGGGTGAGGGAGGGATACACCGAATCTCTACCTGATAATAGGAGTGAGTGCCTTTGTAGGTGATGATTTGTTGGCTGTAGAACAGGGCATAGCAGGAGACTGATTTTTCAATGAACACATTTTTGTAATTTTTACTTTTGTACCCCATTCAATGACATCCACCAAAACATCAACGAAATAAGTAAATTCTTTATTGTCATGAAAGAAGGAACAGGAAGGTTAAGCAGTCCCTGCCCAGCTCGGTTTAACATCTCCCTAAAGCAATCTGGAAACAATGCTGTCAGATCTTCCCATTTTTCAAAAGAAGCTGCAGTCTGGATTTTCATGTGAAATCCCCTGTTGTTTAAAATGTTAGCAACTAATTCAGAGTTTTAAAAACATTGCACAGGCCAAACAAAACACATCTGCAAGCCAGATGGGACCCGCAGGGTGCCAGTTTGGGAACTGTGGTTTAGACCTTTATTCTTCTCGCACTTGGAGATTCATTTAAGTGACTTTTCTATGGGCTACTATAACAGTGCGACCAGTCCTTATCACCTTATCACCTTTAATGGATTGTTGCTGGTCTAGTCTTGCTCTTAAGCTACAAAAAGGCAGTATATATAAATTTTGAGGTCCCCATGGCCTAGCAGAGTCTTGTACCTAGTCACTATTTAATAAGTTAGTTGAATGAGTGAATGAATGAATGAATGAATGAATGAATTCCACCACAAGCAGATCCTTGTCAAGCATCTGAACAAAGTAACTCAGGGTCTCAGGGGTTACCTTATCCAGATCACTCCTTCCTTCTCCTCCCTTCTGGCCAAGTGCCCCAGTTCATCCTCAGGACAACTAAACCTCTGTACCTTACAGTGATTTCATGAACAGGTGGCCTCTTCTACGGTGCAAATAGTGGCCACTAGATGTCTCCCTTTGCTCGAAGGACATCCTGAAGCCCTGGGGTCAACCAGAGGTTTGCTAAACAGAAACCAAACTTGTGCGAAAAATAGACTGTCTCCATCCCAGGCCGCATCTTCAGATGTTTGTCCTAAGGAGGAAGTTGAGTACAGCCGCAATGTCAAAGACAAAATGCCCAGGGACAGAATCGAATTTATTTTGTTCGGGGAGAGCTTCTCACCCACAAGAATTCTCCCTTGGGGAACTCAGTGACAGTCTGTTGGGTTTTAGCCTCGAACCCAGCAGACTCCTGACTGTTCTTCGGGCCACTTGTTTGTGTGACTTTTGTCTGCTGCTATAGGCCGGTGGAGAAATAGCGTTACTGTTAAGGGTCTGGTGATCTGGAACCTACATGGTAAAAGCAGGATTCTTGTAAACTGCCTCAGACTGAGCATTTCCCCAGAGGCTGCCCTGATGCACAGATGAATTTGTCTACATCACGTTGAATGCAGGTGGATGAGCTCTGTTGTACCATCCCTGTCACCCCAGAAAGGTCCCCTGAGCTTAGAGAGGTGGCTGCTTGATGTTGTATAATTCTCATTTTAAAGACAAGTGGAGGGGGAAAAACCAAAGTTCATTACTTTCATAGTGTTATCTCTGACATTCAAATACTGTAAGCTCTGAATGGATGAAAGACCAATGGTGGAATTCTGCCTGGCCTTTCTAAATTTGTCCAGGGCTTTGAATTGAGGGACACTTGAAGTTTATTTGGCGAATGAAATGGAAACTTGGATTCTATGGCTTTGGTGGCTCTTGATTTCACTATGAAAGTTTCCAATGTAAGAATGCTGTGTCTCGGGTGCCTGGGTGGCTCAGTTGGTTAAGCCTCCAACTTCAGTTCAGCTCGTGATCTCGTAGTTTGTGAGTTTGAGCCCCGTGTGGGGCTCTGTGCTGACAGCTCAGAGCCTGGAGCCTGCTTCCGATTCTGTGTCTTCCTCTCCCTTCCAGGGCTTCCCTCCCTCTTTAAATTATACTTGAAATATTTCTTATTGTATTTAATCATTTCACAGATTGGAATAAAGTCATCTGAAATGGCTCAGGGCCTATCACACTCTTGAATCACCATATGATCCAAGGTGACCAACTGCATTTACAGCCCCTGGATTAGAGCTTCTCTAAGACCGAGGGCAAAGCCCAGCACCTCTGATGGATAAACACTGCCCTCCAGGTTCCCCTCCAGCTCCTCTGCTGACTTCATTCAGGTAGTGCCCCACACCCAGTGATAAGGTGTGGATAAGGTTTAGAAAACTAGTTTCAATAATGTGATTCGGTTTGCCGTTGATTCCTGTGACTCTACTCTTTCATCAGGAAACCAAGCCATCAGGCTGCTCAGGAAGCCAGTGCAACCAAAAAATGACTTGACAGGTTTCAAAGCGCTTCCTCAGCCCCTGGTCTTCCTCCTGGTTCTCTCGGACGTCTATAGGATGCTGGGCCTGGTCCAGTCAAGGAAGCTCTGTGGCCAAGATTACCAGAGAGGAGATGTAAAGTATACCAGAGGGACCAAAACACATTTGTTTAGCTGTCTTTGTGTGCTCAGGTGAACACCTTGTGCCTGCCTCACACGTGAGTGTGTGTGAGATTTTGTACCAGAAAGAACGTTGCAGTTATACCAGAGGAGCAACCTCCTCAACGCTGCCTTCACAGAAAGTCAGCTCTTCTTGGGCTCCGAACAATGATATGTCACAATGCTGCTATGGTGCTCAAAAACCCGTGTTACTTTCTTTCGCTTTCTGTCTGCTGAAGGGACTGAGGAGCCCTGTAACCTAACCAGGAAGTATTGAGGAATTCAGCATCGCATGTGTTAGTAGATCATTAGGAGGAAACTAGAAGGGGTGAGTAAGTGGCTTACTAGTGAGTCATCCATCAATAATTCAAAAGCACACCCTATTTGCAAAGCAACCTAAATATTGGGCATACAATGATCTCCTTCCATTAAGTGGGGAATTAACAAACAATTAAATATAGTCATTTGTTTGGATTCAGATTTTCTCCAAAACCAATGTACTCAAGAAATTATTGATGTCTGTTGGTTGCCTAATTTTCTACTACCTACTAACGTGGTTTTGGTCTAATAAGAAACTATAGGGATCCCTTTGTTTCCAAGGGCCATATGCCAGCCCCTAGGAAGTTGCCGGGCTTTACAACACATTGAGCTGGAGGTCAGTAACAGAGCTTCTATCTGAGCTTCAAGCCCTCCCCTCGTAAAGCTCCACGGTGACTGGTCATTTTGTCTGTCTTACCTCTTCACCTTACCCCCTCCCAATTCCACAGCCACTTTCCTCCCTAAGTAATTAATAGATGATTGGTACCATTTTATAAACACATTCCCACTAAGATATCAGTGATTTTTGTGCTCCTACGTGCACTTGCATTTTAACACAGACAATAGGAAAAGGACAGCACTAAACCGAAAAGATAGCATCAATTCCTAGAACATTAGACATGAGATCAACTGAGTGAAGTCCTTCTGGAAGCCCTCGACCTTCTGTACTGAATGGAAATTTGGTCTCCATTTGCAATTGCAAAACCCTGCAGAATGGGCACAGCAGAGAGTGGTGTTAGCTTGATTAGATTGTGAGATCAGCTCTATTCAGCCCAGGCTGGTGGTTGACAAAGGAGGGATGGTTGATGCCTTTTAACAGTTAGGGATTGTCAGGTCAGCTTTGTTCTCTTGACAGCTTCTTCACTGGACCAGACTTGGGTTTGATCATGAAGAATTATGCTGTAGACCAAGTGGCTCAACTGGTGGTGAAAACAAGAGGGATACATTGTGTTTAGGCCTTCTTGGAACCAAAGGTCTTCAACATGAAATGATGGGCTCCAGTTTATTAGAAGAATTGTTCACTCTAAAAGAAATATTTCTACTAGAACCCCGTGCTCTGAAGACCATTTCCTCCTTCTGAAGAAGATGAATGCTTCCTCTTCTATAATAAGAACAATGTACCTGCTTACCTTCCCCTTTTCCTTGAATGCTAGGAAGCTCTTCTCCTATAGTTAAGTTTCAAATTTATAAAATAGTGTAGTTACCTCATAGGTTTTTAGTTGCATTCTTTTTCTTAATTGACACTCTACTTTTATAGCTTCCCTTTTTATCGTTTGTATAGTTTATATGGAAGTTTTACAGTTCATGTGTCCTTATTTCTAGTCAAATATAATGTTTTAAATGCATTGGCATTGTGAGCCACCTCAGGTCATTTGCAGAATGTAAGGGTGGTAGGGGGATCTGGATGGCTCAGTCAGTTAAACGTCCAACGCTTGATTTCGGCTCAGGTCGTGATCTTGTAGTTTGTGAGCTCGAGCTCCACATCGCACTCTGTGCTGACAGTGCTGAACCTGCTTGGGATTCTCTCTCTCTCCCTCTTTCTCTCTCCCTCCCCTGCATGCCCTGTCTCTCTGTCAAAAATAAATAAACATTAAAAAATTATGTGTGTGCGTGTTTGTGTGTGTGTTAATTTTCAGTTTGGATGGGTTGTTAGAAAGCAAAGAGGCATTTGTTAAAAAGTTGAAAAGATTTAGCTCTAGGTTTTCTAAGCCCAAAGAGCATTCCACCCTCAGCAAGTATACTTTTGTTCTCTTTTCCCAGCCCCCATTCCATATTATCCCATGGGTAAGGCTGGGGTTTCTTTGTCTGGGAAAGAACCACATTGGTTCTTCGGGCCTGAATGAGAAAGTCAGAAAAGGAAAAATAATATTGACCCCTATCTTCACTCCACTGGAATTGCCCACCTCCCTCCCATTGGAATTATACATGAAGGGCCGCATTCCTTCCATTTTATGGGGTTTGACCTGTGATGTCCTGAGGCTGGATGTGAAAGCTCAACAGGATGGCATTTTATAGCAAACTGATCTAGGACAGAAGTGTTCCGCATTCCCCTGGAGCATTTTTCTCCCACTTTCCTTTTGTGGTTTCAGAAACCTGTCTATGTCTGCTGCAAGAATCATTAGGTCTTGGGCTCAGATCTCCTTCCTCTTACCAGGCCTGGTATTGACTCCAAGTGGGAGGGAGAGTCAGCATAAAAGTATTTCTCTTTTCCTTCTTGAAGGGGGTGTGTCCTGGGTTTGTCTGCCTACAAGGGCAGCAACATGCACCAGGAGTTGCTTATGAATCGGTGGACTTGCGTGAGTGCCAGTGAGCTACTATTCAGATACTAGCAATGTCTTTCCAAACAGCAGTAAGAAGCGATTGAGCCACAGGTGCACTGGAGGAAAGGCTCCCTAAGGCTGTGACGTGAAGAGAGGAATCACCAGGTAAGCCCAAAGCTGTGATTTGATTCCTTAGAATGTGTATTACTATCACCCAGTACTACCAGTAAATTTGAGATCCCTTACCCCTGGGGAAAACTCTGATTTCAACAACTCATTTCCTAAAGACGGTTAAATAAGGGAACAGAGAATGGAAAAAGCAATGAGTAGAGACAACAGAGATCATCCTCTTGGTGACTATATAAATTGAGGAGATTTGCTGATTCGAAGACTCCAGGTTTTCTAACTCAAAGCACACACGTCTCTCTATCAATTATAACCCAGTACCCCCTATTCTTCAGGTGTGCCTGGGAGGTAGATTGGCTGGAATAAAGAAGGAGCCACCAAAGAAATTTAAAATATCAATCCCATGACTTCTACTGGTTAGTAATATATTAGCTTTAACAATCCCTTAAAATACAAATATGCTTGAGAAGATTAAGTTTATTTTCACTTTAGGATGAATTCATATAAGTTTTGCATGAACCAGTATAAATCTGGGAAGTACTTCCAATTTACCTCTGTCCCTGGACTCGGAAAAATCCCAAAATTGACCCTTACAATTATCTCCCTGATCCTTCCCACTAATAAATATAAAGCAATACTCTGTATTTTCTGACCAAAAGGCCTTGAAAATTGGTAATTTTTCTTTTCCTTTTTCTTTTTCCCCTTTTTTAATGAAAAATTTATGTGTGTAAACTTGATATCCCAGATATGGGAAGTTACTGAAGAAAGTACAGAAGGAAGATCAAGGTGGAAGAGATGTAGATAAATGATATCTGTGGCTTTTCCGTAACGATATCTGTTAAACTAATCCTGATAATAACACACAGAGGTGCGAAATTACAGATAGGAAAGAGGTAATAAAAATAGGTAAGCATATGTTCTATAATTTATTAGAATATTAGCACAGCCTTTTATTTATTTTTTCTTTTCCTGTAATAGACCACTGCTAATTTTACAACCATAATCAAAATTAAAAACAATCTTACAAAATAGACACAGAATACTATATTCAACTACTAGTAAGTATTAACACTTCGAGCACATTATTTAAGCTTTTCGTGCTCTGGTGACTAAATGTGCTAAATGGTGGCAAAAAGCATTAGGACGTAAAATCAGAGCATATGCGTGTTGAGATTTTCCAGGTTGATGTGCAAACACTTCTGTTTTGTACACAGCAACAAGCTGTTGGGAACTGTTGCTGACATGCCTCACAGGTATGCATGCCCTGCTTCTCTAAAATGACAGTAAATTTCTATAATATTTTTAAAGTTTATTTTCATTCATTTATTTTTGAGACAGAGAACATAGGCAGTGGGAGGGCAGAAAGAGAGGAACAGAGAGAATCCCAAGCAGGCTCTGCGCTCTCAGCCTGGAGCCCAGCATGAGGTTGGATCCCATGAACCCCGTGGGGCTCGAGCTGATGAACTCGACTGTGAGATTACGACCAGAGCCGAAATCCAGAGTCTGCACTTAACTGAATGAGCCATCCAGGCACCCCTAATTATTTTTTTAAGTAGGGGTAGGGTCCCATTATAGGGTTTGTCTCTTGCTGTGCTGAGGGTAAGGGGAACACCAGACCTTTGCACCCACATGCCCTCTGATGTCATTCATTCATTCATTCCCCAATTAAAGGACTGCGAATATTCTCCTAAAAAAATAAATGAACCCATTCATTTAAACTAGCGTCTACGTGAGTGATTTAGCACTTTGGTTGGGAGCAACGGTAAACCGGAAGCATCCAGAGGGTACTGAGTATCGAAGGGCATTACCAGAGGTAGGGGCGTGTCGTAAGGGTGAAGAAGTCAGAAAGTGGAGAAGTGGCATCCTTGGGACAATGTCACTGAATTCTCAGTTTTGCTTAGTGCCACTCCTTATGAAACCATACTCCACCCAATCTAAACATGTATTTACAACTTTAACAATATTCCGCCTTGTTTTCTTTCTCAAGTTCTTTGGCAGGAAATACCCGTAGCTTCAGAAAAGGGGAATCGCTGTTCCCAAACACACCAGGGAGTTCTAGTTGTGCTCGAGCAGGGAAGTGCTCCCTGGGTGTCAGGGTCTCCAGAGTTCAAGGATAGACAGACACATGGTCTTACTAGCTGTGAAAATAACCGAGAAAGTTGGAGGGATAGTGCAAGAGGTCTATAGACCCTCTTACCACACCTCTTCCCTCAAAGCCAAAGATAATCTCAGGAGCTCCTGTTCAATGGTAGGTGGAAACCTGGTGTCTGCAATGTTGAGAATGAAAATCCATAAGAATGAGTGTGAAAGTGTCCTGGAATCTCATAGGGTCGTAGTAAAATTCCCTGTGCAGTCAGTTGAATAAATAACAAGTAAAGAGGAGAACAGCAGAGAGAGGGTATGTAGTTCTCAAACTGTGAAACTATAGTTAAATCCCGTTGATGAGGGTTATCAGGGCCCGATGGTGTTTTTGGGTCCTCACTGCAAGTGTCACTTTTTAATCTCCGAGGCCCACGAACCTTGGAAACTCTCGTTTTTTGTTTTGTTTCAAATAAAGTCTTTTAAAATTAAGACGTTAAATAAAGTCTAAGATAATTTCTTTATTTGATTTATTTATACTAAGATTAAGTAAACTGATTGTTTAAGTTCCTTTCTTGTTTGGGGATAAGCAGCCATTTACTATAAATTTGTGATATTAGGATAGCTTGACGCAATGGAACACATTCACACCTGCAAAGTTTTGGGTAAAAAAATCTCCTTGTCTTCCTTCAGGAGATTATATTTTCTGTGAAAACCTTGCACACTTGTGTTTGTAGTTTAGCCTAATTTTGCTCGAAGACTTCTGTATACTTAATCTCTTAGAGAATCCAGCTGATTGTTTCTCATAAGAAAGTTAATGATATATTTCTTAGGCATGTAGCACTCTACAGTATTGTTGATCAAGATACGAATTAAACAAGTAAATAGTAAAAAAAAAAAAAAAAGACACAGTGGTACAATTCACAAAAATATAAGTCAGAACTTTACTATATGACAAGGATTATCAAGGTGTCTTGATAAAGAATGGTTGAGTCAAGAAACATAGTGGCCATAACTGGTTGTTCATTTGGGGGAAAATGAAAGTAAACGCCTATTTCATACCAAAACCTAAAGTAAGTCCAGAAGAATTAAAAGTTTAAGTGTACTTTTTAAAAAATTAAAAAAATTGTTTTACATTTATTTATTTTTGAAAGACAGAGACAGAGCACAGTGGGGGAAGGGCAGAGAGAGAATGAGACACAGAATCTGAAGCAGGCTTCAGGCTCTGAGCTGTCAGCACAGAGCCCGACGGGACTTGAACCCACAAATCGAGAGATCATGACCTGAACCGAAGTCAGACGCTCAACCAACTGAGCCACCCAGGTGCCCCTAAATGTATTTTAAAATGAAGGTTTAGAAGGAAATGTAGAGTACTTTTATAATCATTTTATAAAACATGTTTTTGAGGTTGACTCCTAGTTTGAAATACAGAATGGAAGAGATTGACAGATGTGATTTCATGAACATTTTGAGCTCTTGTGCAGAACATAAGAAGTTAAGACCAAAGACAAATGAACCCAGGTTTATAACAGAAGTGAAAAAAGAGCCAATATCCGTGTTACATAAAAGCTCCAAAGAAACAGTTCTTAAGAAAAAGTAAACATTTCAATAGAAAAGCTTAGAACAATGACTTAAAAAGTCAAGCCAGGAAAAAAAATACAAACGGCTAATACACATCTGAAAACCAACGCTTATTCTTAGTGATAATCAAAGACATGGAAATTAAAGCAATGAGGAAAAAAA